TTTAGATATCTGAGTCCCTTCATCCAACAGAATTTCACCAGCCCATGCGGTGAGAGAATGACTCTATATCATCGGGTTAAGATTGAGAGGAAATTTTGCCTTCCTCATATTACAAACCATTTCCCTTTCGTAAGTGACTCTTTCAACACTTTGCATTTCATTGAAGGTCGAAAATGAGTGGGTATCAGGCGTTTGAACCTAAGTCTAGCATGAGCACCGATCGTGTCTACGCCCCAACTTTTGGGCCTGTTAAAACATAAGGTGTATACAATTAACAAACAACACAAGGTTAGGCATACCCACAAAACCAAACTAGCACTTCCCCGCGTGCCGTACGTCTGTAATATACATAATATAACATAGAGTTAAACTCTCGCAGATCATTCGTTTATGTTCATTACAAGATTACAAATCACTCTCAAATCATAAAGTTAAAAGGAAAACAAAACTAGTTAGTCTTTCAAAGATAGTCGAATACCTAATAAAACTACACATCACTTCATCTATGTTTGCCTTACGAAATCAACTTCACCATTAGTAAATTTCTTCATCACTCTAAGGCATTGACATGCCATGAGCTTTGGAAATGTCCAGTTAAGAACCGCCACACACCCTTCCTACCTTCTAACAACTAAATCAACCATATGTAGAACAACGAGTAACAATAATACCATACTCCAATAAGTTTCCCTGGATTAGTAGTTAGACTAGGACATCTAGAACCCCCAAAGAATCCTTTCTCCCAACCACAAGGTTATTATTGGACACTGGACTATTCAAACTCCCCCTTTTGCTGCTTTTGCAGACTCTTGTCACCAATGCCCACACCTATTTATATATCAGGTAGTGACCTGATGGACCTTTCAAAAGGAATACCAAACCAAATGGCTCACTATACCCAAATCGTGCGGGGCTACGCTTACACTCTTGCCACATACCATACCAATCGTCGGTAGGCTTGCTTACACCTACATATTACCATCACAAAGGGCTCACTCACACCCTTGAAACCACCGCATAGAGTCTAATACATCGCGTGCCACTCTAGGGTTCGCTTAGACGTTTACGCAAAGTTAACATTACAACAACCCTTTTTCATTTCCTGTGTTGTTAGATATTTTGATAAGCGAGTAGTCACATTCGGTAATTCGGTAATTAAAAAGGAGCAAGGAGACACAAACATTACGAGGGGATAATTAGCCCCATTGATTAAATTTTTTTTTTCATACATAAGTTATGTGTTGGCTTATTTTTCTACGAAGGAAAAATATCATAAATGCGAGCGTGCCAGCAATGATTGAAAAAATCTCTTACAGATTAAATTCATAGCCAATTATCAAGCGATTGCGTGACGGTTTCTTTGCCTCAACAAAGAGGACTTCAAAATGCCAAGTGTAGAAGAAAGAAAAAATTAAAGAGAAGAATGAGGGAGACGGAAAAGATTGATTGAGTGAACAATCCAAAGTACATAATTACTTTACCTCTACTCCTATGCTTCGAAAAGGGAGTGCCATAAATGTTTGAAATATAAATCTATATTAAAACTATCCTAAGATAAGGGAAAATGGACAGAAAATTTAAAATCAATTGTCTTGATTTGAATTTCTGGGATCCATGCATTGAGCCATGATGGCTATTTATAGGCAAACATTTGTTAGGAAAAAACTACCTTAAAAACTAGCCCACTTCTTCCACCTCCATCCATTTCCTATTACATGTATTTTGCATAACTTCCTTTAACTCCACTTCATACTCCAATGTTCTCCACTTTTTCTCCATCATCTTTTTCACATTTTCATAACTTCTCATAACCTCCAAATGAGGTAGGAGGATGCCCACATGTCTGCATTATATAAAATAAATAATAATAAAGATTAACAGATTTTATGGTGCTAACATTTACCCCCCGCGGCCCTTAAAAAATGATGTTTTACTTAAATTTTTGAAGGGCCGAACTAGCACATGACTAATCTAAGTAACAAAGTGCTCTCGAATAATATACAACACAATACAAAGTATCGATAGAGTCATAACTAATGATACCACTGAGTCTCAATCGAGGTTAAAACAATCACTGAAGGTCCGGACAATGAGCACAATCACTCAGGTTGGAACAAATAGATGATAAATGAAGTTCAAAAAAAAAAAAAAAAAAAAAAAAAAAAAAAAAAAAAAAAAAAAAAAAATAACACTTCGAAGGTATAAAAACAATCACAAAAAAAAAAAAAAAAAAAAAAAAAAAAAAAAAAAAAAAAAAAAGATTCGGAAATTAAAAAAATCACCTCAGGTTTAAGATTATAAATGAGAACTACATGATTGTAAAAAAAAAAAACTTAGGCTTGATGCTTTTGAATGTATACTTGAAGCTTTATACAGTTTTTCGAAGGTGAATAATCAACCTTTGTAAACAACTCTTGATGCTTCGAAATGTATCTTCAAAGCTTTATACAAGCTTCGAAAGGTGAAGTAATCAGACCTTCGAAACAACTCTTTTGATGCTTGAATGTATCTTCGATGCTTTGTTGTGTACATCACAACACAACCGTGGCATCTAATTTGAAAAGATAAGGCCATTCTGCAACCACTTATATTAAATGCATAGGCTTTCCTAGCCAAGTTATGCATTTTAAATGGTCATCCCCGTTCTTAGTGCTTTCAACTCATAAGAAAACAATTGTTAATTTATTAGCCACATATATCAGAATTATATTTATGGTAGTGATCCACAAAATCCAAAGCAGGTTTTTGAACACCAAGAAACCATAGTACAAAGTGGTTCTTTAAAAATTTCAAACAACTTAACATTTTGAACCAATTTTCAAAAAATATTCCAAAATTCTATGAACATTAAATTGTTCATCATTATCTTAGCCATATTTGGGTTTGAAACATGTTCTCTAGCCAAATAATTTCATCATTTATTAACAGATGGGGGTTATTTTTCTATTTAGCTACTAACGGCTTATGAAAACCCTCCATGGTGAGTTTCATCATTTTTTTGCTTAATGGGTTCTTCATTTTAGCCATTAATGGCTTATTGAAAACCTTCATAGACATGTGTTTCCATGGTGTGACTCTCTAAAGATGATTCTTTCAACCGCCCGAGCTCTATATGAACATCATTTTTAACCATGCTATTGCACTCAATCAACATACTTCTTTCAAAGTTATTTTCATAATGTTGGCTTTTTTAAAAATGGGTTTTTCGACCCCCCCAAGCCATTGATGAAATTATATTTTCACTAATTTCAATCACAAATGACTTAAAAACATTTTGTAAAACCCCACAAAATTTTAGTCATTAAAGACTTGACAAAAAGGTTAATAAACTCATGTCTCCATTGACAAATTTCCACATCAAGTTGATGAGTTACACCAATTACGTGGTGTATTTTTTCTTTTACCAAATAATATGGAATGAGAAACAACTTGGGAATTTTTTTTCATCAAGAAAATGGATCATTTCTTAAGATCCAAAATTTTTTCTTTCACGCCAATATATTTCATATTTGACAAGTTTAAATGGCGAAATCCAAATCGTTTGTCATTTCTTACACTTGGTAGTCCCACTGGGGAGTTGCCAAAAAATTGTTGGCTTATTTTTTCTACGAAGGGAAAATACATAAATGCGAGCGTGCCAAACAATGATTAAAAAATCCTTACAGATTAAATTTAAGCAATTATCAAGTGACTGCGTTTGACGGTTCTTTTGCCTCAACAAAACGACTTCAAAATGGCAAGTGTAGAGAAAAGAAAAAATTAAAAGAAGAATGAGGGAGACGAAGAAAGATGATTGAGTGAACAATCAAAGTAATAATTACTTACCTCTACTCCTCATGCTTCGAAAGGAAGTGCCATAAAATGCTTTGAAATATAAATCTATATTAAACTAACCCCGAAGATAAGGAAAATGACAAGAAATATTGAGATCATTTGTCTTTTGATTTTAATTATAGATTCCATGCATTGTAGTCATTAAATGGCTATTCATAGGCAAATTTGTAGGAAAACTTTTCACACTCTTCCACCTCCTCCATTCCTATTACTGATTTTCCATAACTTCCTTCAACCTCCACTTTCATGTTCCATGTTCTCTACTTTATTCTCCATCATCTTTTCACATTTCATAACTTCTTCATACCTCCAATGAGTAGGAGAGATGCCACAGTCCTGCAATTATATAAAAAATAAATAATAATAAAAATTACAGATTTATGGTATGTAAGGCAAGCAAATAACATTAGGATGCTTTAAAATACTTAGAAATAAATAACACAATAAAACATCATTTCCAGCACTGTTTCAGTTCTGTTAGGGTTAACAAGAATGCTTTGGTAAAAATACTTCCAGGTTCTTTTAGGTGCTGAAATTGCACAAAAACAATAATCAACATGTCTAATTTCAGTTCCAATTCTCATAATTTGCATAGCACCTACCCAGAAATTCATTACTACAAGCTATATTCGAAAACCTGTCTAGATTTGTCACCCTTTGGGAAAACTAGCTTTCCTCTCAATCTACCCGATGATTTTCACCCAAATAAATTTCATTGGAATGAGGACTCAGAATTCTAAAATTTGACAGAAGAACCAACATGAGATGATTTTTTTGGAGTGTTATAAAATTGCAAGAAGTGGACTGTTTTTCAGAGACTTAGGATCAGATTTTTAAACAAAATATCCAAGTCCTAAAAACACACAATGAGGAGCAAATAAATTATCACAAGCTCTAAACACACCAAATATCCTACACTAAATTCAGATTTGAGAAATAAATAAATTTGATATTTCTTTTAAATTAGAGAAGTAGCAGCAGGGCATAATTTGACAAATTTGCAAGACAAAGTCATTAGATCATACCCACACTTTCATACACCCCAAAAACCCAATGTACCATTAATATGCAACATAAGAGGACATACTAGACAATAGGATGAGATGGGTGAAGAATTGGAGAAGATAAGGGAGAGATGTGTTCTTACCTTGACTCAAGAAGGCATATTTTCTTCCTTTTTTTTTTCTTTTTTTTTTTTCTCTCTTCTTCTCTACTTCTCCCTAATCACTCTCCTTCTCTCATCCTCTCCCTGGGCTGTTGAAATGTGTGTATGAGGAATTGAGGCAATGCTTTCAATTTATAGGAAATGAGCCTCTAGCTTAATGGCTAAGGAAGGAAATAAATATCTAGATATTTTCTCCACTAATTTGCTCAAATAAATATTAAAATAATAATAATAATATTTATTTAAAGATATTTATATATATTTACTTGCTCAAATAAATAATAAAGATTCAAAGAACTAATAAATATTCAAATAGGCTAAAAAGATTAAATTGTATGAATTAATGTAGAGCCTAACGGTTAAAATAAATAAAAACTAAGTGTTAGGGGTATTTTCAAATATAAAAATGGCATTTTAGGATTTAATTATAATACAAAATAAAATACAGAAAAATTATTCTTTGTTGGACCATTTTGTAAAATTTTATGAAATTTGAGACTAAAATGCAATTAATCTAAGGCTTAGGGTTTCAAGTGTAATTACCAAAAATTAGGGTCTCTACAATGCCTTATCTAAAGAAAGAAAGTTTGAAATTTTAGAATATTACAATCACAATACGTCTCATTTACATAAAGTATTATAATCTGTAATTCTTAAAATATAAAAACAATTCAAACCACTAAAACCATGAACAGAGCAATAGTAGAGATTGTATGCCTCTGTATTATTACATCTATAGCTATTTTTGAAAATAAAAATCAACCAACACATATCATCTTTTTTATTTATTATTTTTAGAGTTAGATTTAAAAATCAAAAAATATTTAAAAAAATACATTTATTTTTTTCAATTCAAAAAATATATTCAAGTTGAAAATTCTTTTTTCAACAAAATATATTTAGTAGAATATTTAAACTCTTTTTCAATTGAAAATACAAATAGAATATTTAAACAAATTGAAAACACAAAGTCTTACAAATTACTAGGGGTGCTCGCGGTTTGATAGTTTAGTTGCGGTTAAAGGAATCTCAAATCCGCCATCCGTCCAAAACTAGGCGGATTGGTAAAAATCAATCCGCAACCATCCGTTTGTCATCACGCATCCGTCCAAAATACTGCAAATCGGTTCAGTTCGATCAATTTGAACGGATCGATATATTTGTTGTTCACTCCTAATAATAAGTCCATCAAAGAGAATAAAAAATACGATATTAATTATAATAGTCAACAGGCTTTATTTTAAAGTGCATGTTTGATATGCTCTTAGAACATCCCCAGCAGATGCCTTATATCACCTCTTTACTCAAAATAAGGGATTTTGCTATCAAAAAACACCCCTATCAAATCCCTTAATCCACCCCTCAAATAAAAGTATTGCTACAGTTGCTCGCCAAATGTAGGGAGCGACTGTTCACCCCCCAAAAATATAAAATTATTTTTTATTTAACCTTGAGCATCTCCATCCCCAAAAATATAAAATATAAAATAATTAAAAAATAATATTTTATTAGAATAGAGAAAGAATAGGAAATTTGTTGGGAAAAATAGATGAAAAAATGATTTCTAAAATAGGAAATGAAATTTTTAATAATATTTTAGGGTAAATTCTTATTTTATTTCGTTTTGAAGGCACGCTTGGACGTCCCTCCAGACATCCACCCAGTCGAACGCCCTGTTTGTTTTCTTTCGCTGCAGAGAAGCTATCATGCATATTGTGCTCTTGCTTTCGTTTTTATTATTTTATTATTAAAAAAATATTTAAATTTAAAAGTAATGAAAAATATTATTTTAATAGAATAGAGAAAGGATATGGAATTTGTTGGGGGAAGTAAATGAAACAGTGATTTTTAAAAATAGAGAATGAATTTTTTAATAATATTTTAAGGTAAAATTTAGGTAAATTGGTGGGGATGCTCTTATAGCTTTATATAAAAAATTATAGTCCACAAAAAATTTGTTTGTTAATTGAGATACCTGATATTTAAAATTATAGAATAAGAAGGAGAACCATGATATAAAGGTGATAGAATAAGAAGGAGAACCATGATATAAAGGTGATGCTTGTTTTGAAGGATTGGGCCATGGTATTGGATTATTAATCTATTCAGATTAATAGTCCGTTATTTGATTCAATTTTTTTGTTCCGGATTAATAGTCCCTCTGGATTATTAGTCCCTCGTATGAGGGATTATTGTATCTTGAGGGGTGAGATTATCTCCGTGGGATTGGTATCTCATGGGACTTAATATGTGAAATGCCCATTTTACTCTCATGCTATTTACTTAATAAATAATTGAAAAATAATAAACTAGTCTTTTGAATATTTATAAATTATTTTTTTAGTCTTGTTAATTCAAAATTATATATTAAATAAAAAATATAAATTATAAATTATAAATTTAATTTAATTAAAAATAATAAATTAAAAATGATGGCCTTATGAATTAAATTTTTTTAGTATTGTTAAAAAATTAAATTTATATATTAAATAAAATTATTTTTTTAATGTTGTTAATTTAAAATTATATATTAAATCAAAAATATATATTATAAATTATAAATTATAAATTTAATTTAATTGAAAATAATAAATTAAAAATTATGGCCTTATAAATTAAAATTTTTTAGTGTTGTTAAATTATAAATTTAAAATTTAAAATTATATATTAAATAAAAATTATAAATTACAAAGGTAAAATAGTTTCTTGAACATTTATCCTTATCTACTCCGTCCAACAAAACATTGGATTCACTAAAAATAGTTCAATCTAGGCATCTAATCCATGACTAAACAAATATGGGATACAAATCTAGCCGAACCAAATAATCTAGGGACAATGTATCTTAAGACTAACAGTCCGATAGATTACAATCTCTCTTATCCAATCCATCCAAATAAACATGCTCAAATTGTAAAAAATAACCTCTCGATTTAAATATTTTTTTTCGATGTTATCTTTCATTGGTTTCTATCTACCACAAGACTTCTCAAATTTGAAGCAACAACGCAGCCAACAATAAATCACAACTTTATTATCACTATCTTTGCCATTGTTGATTTTTTAATGTAAATCGTTTACGCATTGTCTCCTTTATTCAATTTAGATGAAATGTCACAATTACAACAATTGATTGACATTGTTTTTCGTACAAACTACTACCGCCACAAACTCAACCACTCTACCACTGCTACCAACATTTTTTTTTTTTTTGATATATAGTGGTATTTTAAAAAGTTTGTAAAAGGTTAATTTTTTTATTTTTTTAGTTTATTTTGTCTTTTTATAAGTAAAAAATATAAGAGGTGTTGTGATCTAAAATAGGTTAAAAGTTAAAAGTTGACTTTTTTTTGGCTTTCCAAAAGACCCCATAGGCTTCTTTGGTATTCCAGATTTGTCATTGGATTTTTTTTTACTCTTTTTTTTTTAATTTATTTATTTTCCATTTTCATTCATCACTCTATTTATATCTATCTTCTCTCCTTAACTTGTTTGTTAAAAGAGAAATGGTCTGGACCCCTCTGGGATGACCCCAGGACTCTTAGTGGGCTCTCATTGGTCAATTTTACTTTATTTTATTTATTTTTTATTTTTTTTTATTTTTTTGGAGCCAATGACTAACCCCCACGTGGAGGTGGGGGGGTGGTTGGGCGCCACCCCCACTGGGGTCCCAGCAGTGTTATTGTTAAAAAATATGCAAATTTGCAGTTGCGGTACGAAATTTCATCATCATAGTGAAATTTTATTGCGTGAAGCTCATATAATTAAATTTTACTAAAATACACAATGAAAGTCCTCATTTTACATTGAAATTTGTGTTTTTTATCTTATTTTGCTTGACTTATTGAGCCTCCGTTTGGGAAGTGGGTTGGCTTTTTGACTTTTTAACTTTTTTGATTATTTTGGCTATTTTAGCCTGGATTAAAAAGGTTGGTTTGAGATGGATTTTTTGGATTTTTTGATTTTTTTTTGAGAGAATAGTATAATGATTATGGGTTGGATGTGATATTTTGTTTGTTGTGGTTAAAATAGTCTATTTTGTCTTTTGTGACTATTTTAGCCCCAAACCTCCTTACTAAACGTATTTAAATTTAGAGAAGATTAATGACAATTAAAGTTTGAGAATATTGAGAGAAATTTAACTGAATAGTCTCGAAAAAAAAAATAATGAATGAATTAAGATATATTTTAATGTCATGTTTGTTTGGGCGGATATGTACTTGGGATTAAATTGATAATCCAATAAAATTATTAATCCGATATTTGGTTAGAAAATTAAAGTACAGATTAACAATCCATCTGGATATAATATTCCATATACGATGGACTATTCAATCCCACGTATGGGTGACATATAAATTGGGGGGACTAAGTTAAAGTCTGGACTAACTTATCAAATGCCATAATAAAAGTATTATGATCAATATATTGGATGTCCTATGTCCTATCTATTCCAATCCGCTTAAACAAATATCGGATTAGATAATATTTTATTAATCCTTCTTTATAATCCTAATTCAATACAAATATAAGATAGGATATACAATCCAAATGATTCGTAGTCCTAGGACTATTAATCATGAGAATGTTAATCTCACCTAATCCAGTCCGTCCAAACGAACATAGCCTAAAAGTTATTGAATTTTTAAATTTTGAAAATTATTCAGCGTGTTTGGTTTCAGTTTTCTGGAAACTGAGTTTTTTGTTTTTCGTATTTTTTTGTTTTTAGTGAGTATTTTTAAAATTTTAAGTAATTTTTTTTAGATACACCTTACTTAGATATATCTAAATAGTAAAATATTTGTGAAAAAATATTTTAAAAATCTAATAAATACACAAAAATACGAAAAACGTACTGAATTTTTATATTTTTTGGTATTTTGTGTATTTTTTAAAGATTTTTTAAAAAAAATATTATACTTTTTAAATGTATTTATGTTAGGTGTGTCTAAAAATTAAAAACAATTGCTTAAAATATTAAAAAAATTCATTAAAAACATTAAAATATGAAAAATAAAAAATAGAATTTTCTAAAAACTAGAACCAAACAAGTTATTGAATTTTTAAGTTTTGAAAATTATTTCTTTTTTTTTTTTTTAAATGACAGTTGTATCTGTAATATTCTTTCAAGCATTTAGATTCAATAAAGATATTTTCGTCCAAAAAAAAAAATGAAACGTACTCTTTAAGGATTTATGCTAGTAATACTATATTTTGTTGTCCTTACACTGGCAAAAAGACTAATGATACATGTGCTGAAAACAAAATCCCCTGATAAGGCTTCATTTCCCAATATTATTTTTTAGTGTAAGATTAAAAAGTCACTAAAAAAATTAAAAAGTTAACAGTTTATACAAAAAATTAAAGATTTCATTTTCTTTCTATTTTTTCACATCTTTTCATAAAAAATCAAAAAGTCATTTCAAATATACTAGTTTTTTTTACCTCATATTTTAGTCAAAAAGTCAAAAAATTACTAAAATAGTCTATTCCCAAATGAGGCATAAGAGCACTCATAAATTTTTATATGGTTTTATTATATGTGTAATTTTAAAAAAAAAAATCAAAATTTTAAAATATTTAATTTTATTAAACTAATTCATATTTGTGGAACAAAAAAATTTATCATAAAAATAATCTAAAAATGAAAATAAACAGAGCAAACAATAAATTTTGGTATAAATACTATAATACAAAAAATACATAAATCATATTGTTTAATTGAGATTGTTCGAGATAATGTGCAACAATACACTTCAAATAGATTTTAATCACTTCATGCATTGTTTTATTGAATAGAGGGTTGTTTTGAGAAAATAGTTAAAAATTGATTTTTTTGGTTTCTTTTTGATTTTTTTCAAAAAACATGAAAAAAAATGTAAGAAATGATATGATAAAAAATGGGTTAAAAGCTGAAAGATGACTTTTAACCATATTTCTAAAATACTTAGCTATTGTTTGGAAATAATTAAATAAGTAGATTATTTATTGATAAAAAAATCAAAAGCAAGTAAAGTTGTTTAGGATAGATCTTCCACACACACACACACACACAAATATTATTTATTAAAGAAAGTAAATTTATGAAAACACAAATTTGCCCTAAATACTTTAAGAAATTCCAATTTGTGTTTACAAGAAGGCTCTACAATACTATAAGGACAATATGATGATTTATTATTAAAAATATAATTTGAAAAATATTTTTTCTTAATAATTTAAAAATACATCCAAATTTTGAATTCTAAAAAAATTGAAAAATAAAAAAAAATTAGTAAAACAACATTTGCTAAGGGATTATTTGGCTATGGGTTAAATTAGTTAAAAAAATCATATAAAAACATCAAAAATTTATTTACATTATGTCTACTTTTATGTACTTTTTGTTATAAAATTTTTAAAAATAATTTTCAAACATGTAAAATTTAAATTTATATTTTAATTAAAAAATTAAAATTTATCTACCCAAACAAACCTTTATCTTATCTTATTTTCCAAAAAAAAATAAAAATAAAATTATCTGGATTCCTATGTCATATGTAGTTTTTTCCACATGGTGCAATCCGGTGGAGCCAATACAAAACAAAAACATTCGGGGACCCACTTTCTCGTAAGATTAATGATTTGTAGCTCGAAAGTTCTTCCCCCCGAATGCCCAAAACAACGTCGTTTTGGGCATTCTATTTTTTTTTTCTGAAACAGAGGGAGAGAGAGAGGGAGAAACAGAAGGAGAAAGAGATGAGGAGAGGAAGGCGAGATAGAGAGATGAGAGAAGAGAGGGAAACAGAGAGAGACAGAGATCTGCCGATCACCTAGCCGATCGTCGGAGAGAGAGAGGGAGAAAGAGAGAGGAGAGGAGAGGAGAGAGGGAAACAGAGAGAGAGAGAGGCCCCTCCATTCTGCCGATCCCCCAGCCGATCGCCCCAGCTCGCCCGATCGTTGCAGCTCGTCTGCCGTCTGCCTCCGTCGCCGCCGTCTACCTCTTTCTTCTTCTTCCCTTCTTCTTTCTTTCTTCGCTTCTTCTGCTTCTGCTTCTTCTCTGATTGAACCCAAAAAAAAAAACAAAAAAAAAAACAAAAAAATTTCAAAAACGACATCGTTTTTGGATTAGGGGGATTCGGGGGCACCCTTTTGAGCTATGTAGCACAGCTCTTTCTCGTAACGTGGTCACAAAGGAACCAAAAAGTAAACGCGTCAATGCATCTCGTATGTACCTTTACCCTATAATAATTTATCAAAAATGTTATAAACTCACTTTATCAATCTATAATTTATTTCAAATGTGTGTATGGTGAAAATTAAAACGATAAAATATGAAGTTTTTGAGTAAAATAAATTTGAATTATTATTTATTTTTTAGATAAATTATGAGTTTGTTGTGTTATTGATATTTTATAAAGAAGATGATTATTCTAATCCAAAATCTGAACTGTAATGGATTGTTTGGGACAGGCACTGTCTCGATGATCTGATTTGTTTATTTTATTAGACACTATATATATTTTATTCACAAAAAAATTAGGTTGATTTGATAACTTTAAATTGTTCAATTTACCCTTTTTTTATTAGAAAAATGAACGACAATTCACTAACGATAACTTATTCACTTCATCGTGTTTTTATTAAAAAAATGAACGATAATTATGTTTTAACAAAAACGAATCATGCATTTTTTTATTATAAAAATAATAAATTGAAAAAAACTTACAATTATCGAATCGACATAATTTTTATTGATAAATAAAATACACAAAATACTTAACAAAATAAATAGTTTAAATTATCAAAATATAACTTGTGACGAAGTCAATTCTCCTCCATTTTATAAAGTCTGCGAGAATCTCTTTTTTTTTCATTAAATTTGAATAAAAATTTCATTTAATATCACGTGTTTCAACGAAAGATTTTGAACATTTTATTAAAACACCAATTGTCATGATAGATGTCGGGCCGATCGATTGGCCAGTGTAATTTTTTTATAAATTTTTACAAGGAGGTGGTCAATCGGAAGACAACCAACCTAACATTTGAGGGTTGTCTAATGGTAAAAATGACTTATAACTCAAATGATTATGAATAACGATTTGATAAAAGGTATACTCATCTTTAATTTGATAAATGATTTAATTTTTTTTTTTAATTTAATAAAATATTTGATGTTGAATTAGAATCATAAAAAATAATTTAAATTTAATGAAATATTTGGTGTGGGGTTGGACGTAGGGAGTCCGGATCTTCTGCCATACATTCCTGCAATACATTCCTGCAGTGCTATACAAAACGACGTCGTTTTGTATTATTATTATTTTTTTCCTCGTTTCTTTTACGTTGCTTCAGAACTGTTTAGAACCCTAGTGTTGCTTTAGAACTCAGACGAATTGAGAGTAGAGGCGAAACGACGAGGAGAGGAGAGGAGAGGAGAGGCAGCGGTGGCCTTAATTCTTTCTTAGTTTCTTCTTTTTGCTACTTAATTTGATCCATTTTGAGTTCTGGAATAGCCATGTATTTCTCAATTACTTCACTCTGTTTTGTTGCTGCTAGCTACTCATAATTCAAGAAACAGCAATGAAACAACCGGGCATTTTACTTAACTGCATTCTCCGATGTTTAGTTCCAACAAACAAGTCTCAATATTGCTTAATCAGCTTATAACTGGATTTTTAAAAAAATAATAAAAATAAAAATAAAGAAATTAATGTCAAATTTTGTTTATTTTTTAAAGTCTACTTAGGAAATTTATATATTTTTTAAAAAATTCACTAGGACAGAAATAACCTAAGAGTAGTATATAAAAAACCTAATTTTTTTTGGTTTATTTTTGGCTTTCCTGAATTATTATTATTATTTTTAATTTTTTAAAGTCTTTTTTTTTTTTACTTAAAAAAGGTTGAATTTTTTTCACAAAAATGTAAAAATATGCCTAAAAAATATCAACTAACAGGCTCTTTAACAAGATGGGTTGGTTATTGTAGCTAGACTCACACCATTTCACTGCCTTCGACAATCTAGCTAACTAGCTATCAGTCTTGGAGGCTCTTTTAACCGTTTTTGAATGAATAGGTAAAATAGAGAGAGGTGTTGGAGCAAAAATGTGTTTAGGTAAAATAAAGGGCTTATTATTCTTATTATTTTTTTTTTGTAATTTAGCCAGTGAAAAATGGAGAGTAGTGTTGGAGTTGGTCTAAGCTGCAGCCAAAAAAAAAAAAAACCCCTTAAATATGTTTGTTTAAATTTGTTTTGACTACTGGTTGTGTTGATTATTGGTTTTGTTGGGACCAGTTTGATGTCCAGGCAACCGAACTGACTAGTTTTATGTTCTTTTCCTTTTATCAAATTTTCTTTTAAAAGTTTCTTTTCAAACCAAATCAAACCAAATGAAGCCTTAAGTCTCATGGGGTCGGCTACATAAATCTTTTTTCTCAGTATCTGGCTGGAACTTGGAAGTAACTTAGCTTAGGTTGTCTTTACATTGATTTGTCAAAATTGATTAGTTGTATAATCTTCTCCGTAGGCCAGGAGCTGCTGGGAAATTATTGTATGTAATCTCGTGCATTTAACTAAATTGTTAATAAATTTATAGTGTATTATGTGCATGAAGCATATTTAGGTGCTTTAGAAAATTAGATGTAATTAGAGGTTCCTCGTTATCTTAAAAAAAAAAAAAAAAAGAAATTTGGATGTACTTTTTTTAATAGACCTTTCTCTGTTTTAACTTGTTGCGGCAGTTAAAAAATCAATGTTGACTCCTGGTTGTTATTTTATTCATGTTTGTCAAGATTTAAGCAATGAAGATGGAAGATACTTTCCCTAATAACTTAAATGTTCACGGTTCCAACAAGTCATCATACAAGTTGTTAATGCTACAGATTTTACTTAAAATCTCAAGTTTTTTTATTTATTTATTTTTTTTGGGGGGTTGGTTTTAAAGGTTCATTGTTGTTTGTTTATTAAGGTAAGAGTTCACAAGTCCCACAATTTCTCCTAGAAGAAAACATGAAGCCCATATTATGTACACAGCCAAGGAGATTTGCTGTTGTTGCTGTTGCTAGAATGGTGGCAAAAGCTCGTAACTGTGAAGTAGGGGGTGAGGTTGGTTACCATATTGGTCATTCAAAGGTCGTATCAGCAAGGTATATCCTCCTAGCCAATCTACTGATGAGAAACTTTAGTCCATGCTTTGGTTTGAGCTTCATATTGTCACTAATCAGATGTGTGAGTGCATCTATATTCTCTTTTCCATTTTCTCTATTTACACCATTATCAATATGGTGGATGGCATGGCATCGATTGAGTTGGCTATCCTTCATTTTTGGAATTTATTCATCTGTAATCTATTCTATTTAGCACACAACTCGAATCATATATTGAAGCATTGTCATTTTATTTTTATTTTTAATTTTCCAACAATTTCCCATAAAATATCTGCTCAACGGTTATAATGGAATAACGGCTAACAATTTTCAAATTCATCTTTCTCATTCATCAAATCATCTAAAAGTTTTGATGTAAAAATGCTAAGGCATTGTGTTTGCACCCACCGCTAGTAATTTATTGTATATATCTACAATATATATAGCGGTCCCGATATTTCCTGTTGTTGTTTAACTATAATCCGGACTCGGTTCCGTAGATTCGTTGTTATCTTATCCTCATTTCTATCCCTTACTCTTTCAATTAGAATTTTGGGTTGTGTTGGGCAGGTTGGGAATAAGTGGGTTTAATCCAAACTGTATTCTATCTGGAGGTGATAGTTACCTCTGCAATTTTCTATCACTGTAGATTTATGCTTTTTGTTTTGGTAAACACCAAAACAAGGAGATGTAATTGCGAAATATGAGAAATCGAACTAAACCAGAGTTAATTTTATTGTGCAGTACACTGCTTTTGATCAGCTTAAACGGAGACTACTGAGGAGGCAGCTAAGCAAGAAAAGAGGTACAGAACCATCCTCGGAAGCTCTTTCTGCCTTTTCTGCTTTTGTGCTGGGTGCAGTCTCAAAGTGTATTGCCACCTGCTTAACTTATCCGGCTATCAGGTGGATTTTCTGTTCGGTTTTTATGAAAAATTGGTATATGAATTTGAATGAAAAAAAGCATGCCCCCTTTATCTGAGTGTTTTTTCCATGGAAAAACTGATAACATTAAGATATGAACTGCGGACAGGTGTAAGGTGATGATTCAGGCTGAATCAGATGAAGATGAGACCAAGGAAGATCAACCGAAAGCCCAAAAGACAGTCTCAGGTGCAATCCATACGATTTGGAAAAGGGAAGGGCTACTTGGTTTCTTCAAAGGATTACAGGCTCAGATTTTGAAGACTGTGCTAAGCTCGGCATTGCTTATGATGGTGAAGGAGAAGATCACAAAAACCACATGGGTTTTAATGTTAGCACTTCAAAGGTATCTGTCAATAACCAAGACCAGATTAAAGAACGCTTAAATGAACCACGATAAGAGGGATTCTATGCAACGACTCCTTATAAAGAAAGAGACTTCATTCAAGGTAATAATATCATAGATTTTAGAGCTTTGCAAGGCTTTCTAAAGGGCATGTAAAAACTATTGACATAAGAAGAAACTGAGATATGGCATGTCACATACATATTGTCCTCCTCTTGACTTTCCTTTAACACTTAACAGCACACGACTCTTCAAGATTGGAAAGAAAACTTCGAAATTTCATCAGAGAAAAGGTAAAATTTGGTAACTTTCTACTCTTCCTCCTATGCTGGAATGAGAAAATCATCACTCTATATCACTCAGAAAAGCAAATTAAGCTACTGAAAATGTTTGGTCAAAGCCCTCAACTCACAACAAGAAGAAAAAGCTCATAGCTAAAGACATCCACTGCCAGATTAGACCAACCTTGGAAACCAAACCCACTGAGTTGTCAGCAGCCGCAAAGCTTCCTCCAGGAGTGTTTGTGCTCAAAACAACAACCCAATTATCTTCAGAACCAATACCGGCTCCTGTAAACTTGGTGTCATTGAGAAAGTCAGAATGCTGAGACTCTGTGAAGTTAGCAAGGACAAGGCTGGGAACCAGGTTGGGAACGCAAGCGGGCAATATTGCACAATCCTTTGTTGTCTTGACATTTAAATGACATTTGGCTAGAAGGGTGGGGTAATTGGAGAATTGAGGTTCGGCACCGGGTACTGTAATAGAGCCTGTTGTGTAAATTCTTGAAATGTAAATTCTTATGGTTGGTCATGATGAAGATTGCTCTGTCTACTAGTTATGGTATGATGAAGATTGCTCTATTTACTACTTATGGTTAGTCATGTAGTATTTGAATTCTCTCTCCCCACTCTCTATTTTCCTTTTTTTGTTTTTTTACACAATAGTTTGAGGAGATACAGCCACCATTCAGTGATGGAGCAGCTGCCAGGCATCCAATAATTCTTTTGCTTCTTATATCATTGCAATCTTTGAATTGAATTTATCACCTATATATTCATATATTACCTTATTTTTCCTTTTTGTGTTGTTTTGATCTTTAAAAATTTATTAAGATAATGAATCCAAACCAAACTTTTTTCAAGAATTTGTATGGGGCCTTCGGAATATTGTTTACAATTTTTGGATACCAGAAATGCTTACTTAGCCAAAAAAGTGTCCATAATAATCTATGATGTAAATTTAAACTTGGCGTGATGTGGATTACTCCAAGATGAATTTAATCCACATATTTTTAATGCGGAACTTATATATATATATATATATATTTCCCAAGTGCGATTGTTAATTACCCTATTTTTAATTGTAAATTTCCCTTATTTGAGAATAAACTCTACTCCTACTCTTGTTGTTTAGTTTTGAATTTAATAACACATTAAAGAGTTGACGAGGCCCTTAAATTTTTTTTATATATTTGCAATATTTGAGGTTTGTCCAATTACTCTGAATAGAAAAAAAAAAAACAAAAAAAAAAACTACTTTATGACATTGTGACATTCTAAAATTAGGTGAAGAAAATGCTCAAAAAAATTATAACAATTTTGATGAAATTTAGGTTTGGTTTGGGGTACACTAAATAATACAAAAAGTCAAAAAGTCACTATTCTATTTAAGTCGTATCATCTTATTTAAATTATATCACCTCTCTAACACATCACATCAAACTCAACTCATATAAGTTAATAAATTAAAAAGTGTATTTTTTAAAACATGTCAAATCAACCCTAATGAGACAAAGATTTTGTTTTTTTGGAACTCAATAAGGCAAAGATTGTTGGCCGCGTTGTGGAAGGTGGCGGGGGGTGCGAAACGGAGGGGTTGGTTGGCGGGGGTTAGGGTGGTTTGGGAGTTAGTTTGAAAAGTTAGGAGTAAAAGTAAAATTTAATATGTTACGAATAGATAAAATTATAATAAAGAAAGATAGTGACGATGTATCATTTTTAATGATTTCAATCATTTATGTTCAGTTTTTTGGGATGGGAAATATTTTTTTAACGAAAAATGTCTTTTATGAAAAAGTGTTTTTAAAAAATATTTTTATATGTTTAGCGTGTGGTGGTGGAACGAAAATAGAGATAGTGGTGGTGGCGTAGTAATGTTGTGGTGACGGTGACAGTAGTATGGTGGTGGAGATGATATTGGTAAAATTTTAATTTTAAAAATATTTTTTCTTTTTAAAAATGAAAAATATTTTTTGTTTAAATAAGTTTATTTTTCAGGTACATAGATACCGTTTAGTAATACTTACGTTTTCAGTTTTCTGTTTATATTTACAAAAAATTTAAAAACTCAAATAAAAACTTGTTTGGTAAAATTTTTGATTTATAAATCAGTGATCTCAGTTTATAAATTTGTCTAAAAAATGAAAACACAAAAACTGTGTTTCCGTTTTGAGTTTTCAATTTTTTTTTTTACCACCCAATACTAGCCACCACCTGCCACCATTTTCTACCATCGTCTTCCACCACTACCACCTACCACCTACCCCCCACCACCACCTGCCACCACCACTTACCACCCACCTGCCACCACCATCCACCACCGGCCACCACCCACCTACTCGCCACCACCACCGACCCCTCGCCACCACCACACCACACAACCCACCTGGCATTCACTTCACCACCTCCATTTTCGTTTCACCACCATTACTAAATATTAAAAATATATATATATATTTTTTTTCATTTCACCATCATTTAAAAATGTTTTTCACTCAAATACACGGAGGGTAAGAAAAAACCAATACATTGCTTTAAATATGAATTTTAAATTTTTATACTAATTATATTTTGTGTATTATTCCACCAATAAAACGAGTGTCTGAATCATGTGGCATTAATTATTTTTTCCAACTCTAGAATTTCTGTGGTCTACTGCACTTGCACAGAAATAACATTTAAACTTTTTTTAACATTATTTTCTTTTGAGTTTGACCCACCACATGATAAAAATCATTCCACACTAGTTAAAATTATCCTATTTTTGTAAATACTAATTTGAGAAATTTTATGATATTATCACTAGCGGCTCAAGATTATTAGATGTCTTAAACTGAATATTAAAATAAGATTTCACCACCACCACCCACTCGCTACCACCACCACCCGCCACTGTCACCCACTCACCCACCCACCACCACCACCACCACCACACATCCACTACCACTAGCTACCCACCATCCACCGTCACCACTTTCCACCACCGTCTTCCGCTGCCACTTGCCATTTCTCACTCTTTTTTATATTTTTAAATTTTTTAAAATATTTTGTCAATTACCAAACACGTTTGTAGTTTATGTTTTTCTAAAAATAATCAAAAAAATAAACAAAAATCAGTTTATAAAATTTTTGTAAATATAAACTGAAAACGTAAATGTTACCAAACACACTCTTAGTAAGCAAAATTTTAGTCCCCGTTTGTGATGTTGGCTATTTTAGGTAGATTTTTGACTTTATGAGTATTTTAGCCAATGAAAAAAGTTGTATTTGGAATGATTTGTGAATTTTTGTATAATTGAATAGGTTGTTGTAAGGAAAAAAAAAATTGATTAATAAATAGAATGTAATATTTTGTCTTATTGATAATTTTAATATTTTTTATTTTTATTAACTATTTTAAGTAAAAATTGATGACAAAAAGGCCTAATGACAAATAAAAAATCAGATTTTTTGTTTTTTGAACGCGAATTAAAAATCAAAATTAAAAATCATTTTAGTGATGTTACATTTAACGAATTTAGGCTCACTTGAATTGTTTAAATTTGTGCATGTTGATCATTTTCCGGTCATTCAAGCAAATATTGATTGATAAGGATGACAATCGTCGTTGACAAGAGTACAATGTACGTAATCCGAACAATTCGAGTGAGGTCAAATTTGATCGATCGATCATTTTTCAAATCATTTACATTATGTTTGGTTGAGAGATTTGATGAGAAATTTTTTTTTAAAAAAAAAAAAAAAGGTAAGGCATGGTTTGGCAAGTGGGTTTGGATAGGTTTGGGGCTATTTTAGCTACAAAAGACAAAATAAATTATTTTAGCTACAACAAACAAAATATCACATCCAACCTATAATCATTACACTATTCTCTCATAAAAAAGCCAAAAAATTAAAAAGTCAAAAAGTCTTTCCCAAACCAAGTTTTTTAGCCCAGGCTAAAAAAATCAAAAAGTCAACCCATTTCCCAAACAACAGCTAAGTAAAATATATCTACATTAATTTTATATATCTTTTTCTTTATCTTTTCAAATCTCTTCCCAAATTATCGAACCAAATTTCTCTCTAAATCTCTGAATCATAGTATTAATGAATTTTTCGAGCAATTACCCCAACCGTCTCACAGCCGCCACCGCCTTTGCTCTCCTTCCGAAGCTCTATCGATTTCTTTCTTCTTCTTCGAAAAATTTCATTAGAGCATCTCCAACGCAAGAGCCAAAATGGGAGAATTAGGCATTTTGCCTATTGAAGTTGGATTTCGAAGCTCCAACGCGCTCTGCATCTGAGGAGACATTTTGCCAATTCTCGTTTTGGCTCTCCACAAGTAGCCAGCGTCCATTGCTAGGCAAAGCACTCTTCCCGCCATTGTGTTGGCCTCCATCGCTGCAAGCAACATCTCTGTTCCAGCCCATTGATGATCACAGGTATGGCTCTCTTTCTCTTTCTCTTTCTCTTTCTCTTTGTCCACTTGCCTGTTCTTCCCCATTATCTATCTGCAAAGGAATACATGATTTAGGGCAATCCATTTGCAAAAATTGGGTTTGTGTACTGAAATTAGTGCCTTGTTCATGGAAATTTAGTTTTTTTTTTTTTTGAAGATTTTTTTATGGTTTTATGCTTCCTTAATCTTCGTTTGGCTAAGTTTCTGAGGTAAAAAAGACTGATCATAAATTGGGTTCTCAAAATATTATCATATTAGGACTTCTCTTTGTTTATGGAAACTTGATTTTATTCTTTCATGGAAACTTGGTTAGGTGGATGAGGTAGATTTTCGAAATGCACTCAAGGTGTTTGAAGAAAAGACAGATTAGAATTTGGGTTCTCAAAATATTGTCATATTAGGATTTTTCATTTATTGTTAATGGAGAGTATGAAATTGATTCAATATGAGTAGTAGTCATGTTTCAACAAAGCCATAGTGACGATATATCATTTTTAATGATTTCAATCTTTTATGTTCAGTTTTTTGGGATGGGATATATTTTTTTAACGAAAAATATCTTTTATGGAAAAGTGTTTTTAAAAAATATTTTTATATGCTTAGCGTGTGATGGTGGAACGAAAATAGAGATAGAGGTGGTGGCGTAGTAATGTTGTGGTGACGGTGACAGTAGTATGGTGGTGGAGATGATATTGGTAAAATTTTAATTTTAAAAATACTTTTTCCTTTTAAAAATGAAAAATATTTTTTGTTTAAATAAGTTTAATTTTCAGGTACTTAGTAAGCAAAATTTTAGTCCCCGTTTGTGATGTTGGCTATTTTAGGTAGATTTTTGACTTTATGAGTATTTTAGCCAATGAAAAAAGTTGTATTTGGAATGATTTGTGAATTTTTGTATAATTGAATAGGTAGTTGTAAGGAAAAAAAAAATTGATTAATAAATAGAATGTAATATTTTGTCTTATTGATAATTTTAATATTTTTTATTTTTATTAACTATTTTAAGTAAAAATTTATGACAAAAAGGCCTAATGACAAATAAAAAATCAGATTTTTTGTTTTTTGAACGCGAATTAAAAATCAAAATTAAAAATCATTTTAGTAATGTTACATTTAACGAATTTAGGCTCACTTGAATTGTTTAAATTTGTGCATGTTGATCATTTGCCCGTCATTCAAGCAAATATTGATTGATAAGGATGACAACCGTAGTTGACATGGGTACAATGTACGTAATTCGAACAATTCGAGTGAGGTCAAATTTGATCGATCGATCATTTTTCAAATCATTTACATTATGTTTGGTTGAGAGATTTGATGAGAAATTTAAAAAAAAGAAAAGAAAAGAAGGGAAGGCATGGTTTGGCAAGTGGGTTTGGATAGGTTTGGGGCTATTTTAGTTACAAAAGACAAAATAAACTATTTTAGCTACAACAAACAAAATATCACATCCAACCTATAATCATTACACTATTCTCTCATAAAAAAAGTCAAAAAATCAAAAAGTTCTTTCCAAACCAAGCCTTTTAGCCCAGGCTAAAATAATCAAAAAAACCAAAAAGTCAATCCATTTCCCAAACAACACCTAAGTAAAATATATCTACATTAATTTTATATATCTTTTTCTTTATCTTTTCAAATCTCTTCCCAAATTGCCGAACCAAATTTCTCTCTAAATCTCTGAATCATAGTATTAATGAATTTTCCGGGCAACTACCCCAACCGTCTCACAGCCGCCACCGCCTTTGCTCTCCTTCCGAAGCTCTATCGATTTCTTTCTTCTTCTTCCACAAATTTCATTAGAGCATCTCCAACGCAAGAGCCAAAAGGGGAGAATTAGGCATTTTGCCTATTGAAGTTGGATTTCGAAGCTCCATCGATTTCTTTCTTCTTCTTCTTCCACAAATTTCATTAGAGCATCTCCAACGCAAGAGCCAAAAGGGGAGAATTAGGCATTTTGCCTATTGAAGTTGGATTTCGAAGCTCCAACGCGCTCTGCATCTGAGGAGGCATTTTGCCAATTCTCGTTTTGGCTCTCCACAGGTAGCCAGCGTCCATTGTTAGGCAAAGTGTGTTCCCGCCAACTCAAGTGACTCTCTTTCTCTTTCTCTCTTTTTCTCCATTTCCCGTTCTTTCCCATCAACGATCTCTCTCAACAGCTATCTACTGATTCGGCTTTGGATGATTTCGAAAACCCAATGCAAAGGAATACATGATTTAGGGCAATCCATTTGCAAAAATTGGGTTTGTGTACTGAAATTAGTGCCTTGTTCATGGAAATTTAGTTTTTTTTTTTTTGAAGATTTTTTTTATGGTTTTATGCTTCCTTAATCTTCGTTTGGCTAAGTTTCTAAGGTAAAAAAGACTGCTCATAAATTGGGTTTTCAAAATATTATCATATTAGGACTTCTCTTTGTTCATGGAAACTTGATTTTATTCTTTCATGGAAACTTGGTTAGGTGGATGAGGTAGATTTTCGAAATGCACTCAAGGTGTTCGAAGAAAAGACAGATTAGAATTTGGGTTCTCAAAATATTGTCATATTAGGATTTTTCATTTATCGTTAATGGAGAGTATGAAATTGATTCAATATGAGTAGTAGTCATGTTTCAACAAAGCCATGTGGTGCCCTGCCCATATCATTGTCCTTTGAAGTCTTTCCATAAATACATAAACCAAACAAAATTCAAACCGAAACATATACCCCATATATATATAAACACCTCTGCAAACCTTCCAACCACCATTGCACCTCACTACCCACCCACCACATATCTGCAAACCTCTCTTAACAATAAGCTCAGCAGATACAAAAAGAACCCAAAAAAAGTATAAAAAATGGGCTATCAAACTCAGATCACTACACCCAATAGATAATCTCTGCCTTCACCTAACTTGCACATCATTTGGCTTTGCCTCAAACCCAGAAGAGAAGAGAAGAGAAAGATAGAGAAACAGAACTCTTGTTAATAAGGGTTGCTAATTTTTCATTTATTGTTAATGGAGAGTATGAAATTGATGTAGCTCTTGTAATTCTGTCAACTATAACATATCATCACACTTCTGCAATTGTTGTAGCTCTCACCTTAGGTAGCTTTCACCTGGGCGAAAAGAAGCATATTTTCACTTTTGGGTTTTACCATAATTTGTTGGAAGCTGAGTTTTGCTATTGTAGTTTATGTCTAACAGTAAACCCATGTGATGTATGAGTTGAATTGTGAGAAATTAGTAAACCTGGACGAAATTATTTCTTGAAAAAATTAAACACTTTTCTGCATAAGAAGGTAAGAAATTAGTTTTAGTAGATCGTAAAATTTGGAATTATAAATTAATGAACAATTAGAACATTTTAATTTGTTAGTGCATCACTTTCTATGCATTATGAATCATATTTATTCCAATTGTGAATCAAGAAAAATTTAAAGTGTATTATGTCCATTTGTGAATCAGGAAAATTTTAAAGTGATTTGTTAGTGCATCACAAAATTAATGAACAATTAGAACATTTTAATTTGTTAGTGCATCACATTTGTTACTGCATTACTTTCTATGCATTATGAATCAAATTTGTTCTAATTGTATTATGTCCACCATTCTATGCAATATTCAAAACAGATTTCACAGATTTGTCTGCAATAGTCACTTTCTATGAATCAGATTTTAGAGATTTTTACGAATCAAATTTTTAGTGCTTCACTTTCTATGCAATATTCAAAACAGATTTCAGAGATTTCAAAGTGTATTATGTCCACCATTCCCTAATTCATTATTTTTGGAATTAGGCCATGAATTGATACTTTTTTTTTTTGTTTTCTTTTTGTGTGGTATGAACAATTGTGCTTTAGATGGAATATTAAGGAAATGCATATTTTAGCGACCTAATGAACAACGAGTTTGACCTTGACCATGATTTTACCACCGAGTCTCCTCAGCAAGAGAGTCAATGTTTATCATTCTCTCATGAAATCATTACTCAAACTACAAAGATATCACAATGCAAAGGGAACTTCATCGTAGAGGAAGACATGATGCTCATATCTTCATTGCTTAATATTAGCTTAGATCTAATTAGAGGAAATGAGCAAAAGTCAAAGGCATATTGGTTAAGAGTGTGGGAGAACTTCAACAAGTACAAAACCTTCGATTCTGAAAGAACTCAAACTTCTCTAATGAATCGGTGGTCGACGATTCAACTTGCCACAAATAAATTTTGTGGATGTTTTTCTCAAGTTGAACAGTTGAATCGAAGTGGTTCGACTGAAAATGACAAGGTATTACTAAAATTTAATTTTGTACCTATAATGAATATATATTATTCGTTATGTAATAGTGACTATTCTTTAATCTATTTTTCAGATTAGGGATGCGAAAAAATTGTACAAAGACTTGTATCATTCGAACTTTCCCTCTGAGCATTGTTGGAATGAGTTGAGATCCCAACCAAAATGGATGGAAGATACAACAACAAAGAAGCAAAAAAGCACAAAAAATGCATCTCCGACAACGTCTACCTCTTGTACACCAGATTCAGTGACCTTAGAGAACAGTGATAACTATGATGTTGTGGAAAGACCAATAGGAAGGAAGGCCGCAAAGAAAAACAAAGCTAAAGATCTTGAAAATAATGTTACAGAGTCACCTTTTTCTGAAGCTCTTAGAAGAGATAAAGGTAAAGAATGACATAACAAATGAGAAGAAAATAGAGATGTTTGAGAAATCTTATCTTCAAGAGGAACGAAGGATTGAAAATGAAGAAAGAAGAGAGAACGAAGGATTGAAAATAAAGAAAAGAGAGAGGAACGAAGGCTTGTATTGGAGGAAATGAGAGAGGAAGAGAGAATCATGTCAATGGATACAAGTAATATGCCTCCATTGCAAGCGCAATATATTCGCCAACGTCAGATGCAAATCCTTGAAAAAAGGAATTAATTATTTTTATTTAGCTTTGAAACTATGTTTTTATCTAATTTAAGTTTGACTGTATTTTATTTTTGGGTTTGTTGGCACATTTGTTTTTGATGTGCAGAATTTTAGTGCTTTGACTTGGATTTAGAGTTGGGTTTGTTTCAAATTTTGCTAGTTGAAATCTGAAATGGAGATAGACTTGTTGGGTTTGAATTCTTGTTGGATTTTAGTGCTTTGACTTTGAAATGGAGACAGACTATTTAAATTTTGGATGTCCATTCAAGTCTTGGATTTAAAAATTAATGAGAGATGTAAAGAAAGATTAAGAATTCTCCATATTCAACTTAATGGGGCCTTTCACTCACTTATTCTTTTGTTCTTTTTATGGCCAATAATAAGTTTGATTGTATTCCAAAAATAACTTAGGGATGTATTCATAGAAAAAATTTATTATAAGTATCACTAAAGATCATAGATTAAAAACAAATCACTAGTGATATATTATTGAAAGCACATAAAGTAGTACAAATATTTTTGAAAACACACTCACTAAAGCATATAAGCTAGTACAGAAATCAATAAGAACCAACTAGTATTTCTCACAAGGAGTCTCCATGTAGTGTCCACAAGTGTTCGACCAAGTCTTGTTTGAGTTTGGAGTGAGTTCCTCTATCTCTGATGCGATGATGATTTTGAATGAATTCAAAAAGTTCTGGTGTACGCTCATGAGACACTGGTGGAAAACTTTCACTAATTGTATCATAATTAAAGTCCAATCCATTGGCATCCCTCTCATCTTCAACAATCATGTTATGCATTATTATGCATGCCATCATAATATCTTCCATTATTTCTGTTTTCCAAAAACGTGTAGGTTCTCGCACAATCGCGAAACGTGCTTGGAGCACACCAAATGCTTGCTTAACATCCTTCCTTGCTGATTCTTGAGCTTTTGCAAAATATATTTGTTTATTCCCTTGTGGAGATGAGATTGTTTTGACAAATGTTGCCAATTGCGGATATATACCATTGGCAAGATAGTATCCCATTGTATAATCATTTCCATTAATTGAGTAATTGACTGGAGGAGCACGACCTTGAGTAAGGAGTGAAAATACAGAAGAACGATCTAATACATTGATGTCGTTATGAGATCTGGGCATCCCAAAAAAGGCATGCCATATCCATAAATCTTGAGAAGCCACAGCCTTTAAAATAATAGTTGGTTCATGGATGTGACCAGAATACATACCTTTCCGTGCAGTAGGACAATTTTTTCACTTCCAATGCATACAATCAATGCTCCCTAACATACCAGGAAACCCGCGATTGCTTTCCATCGCTAATAATCTTGAAATATCATCGTTGTTAGGGCTCCTCAAGTACGTCTCAGAAAACATTGCAACCACCGCCTTAACAAAGTGTTTTAGACTCTCTATGGCGGTGCTTTCACCAATTCTCACATAATCATCCACCGAATCTGCTGCTGCTCCATAAGCGAGCATCCTCATAGCAGCTGTCATTTTTTGAAGGGAAGACAAACCAATGATTCCAACGGCATCTGTTTTCTGGACAAAATATGGATTGTATGCTTCCACTGTAGATAGAATATGAACAAAAAGAGATCGATTCATCTGGAATCTCCTCCTGAATAAATGGGCAGGATATATGGCTATTTCTGAGAAGTAGTCTCGATAAAGTCTCTCATGGCCTTGAACTCGATCGCGATAAATAACTGCACGGTCTTCAATGGAACCACTACGTCTTCTCGAACATCTTTCTCTATTGAGTCGCTCTTCTTCCATTGCAGCTATCGTTATTAGTTGCAATTCATAATCACCGTCAAAGTTGTTAAGAATCATTTTCATTGTATTGTGAGCCATGATAATTAAAAAATGAATGAAGTTGACAAATATAGTTCAAATTGGTAAAAATGAAAGAGTAAATCCTTTTTATAAACAAAAATATATGACCGTTAAGAATATGTCCGTTACAGAATATTACCGTTTGAAAATATGACCGTTGAAGAATATTACCGTTTGAAAATATGACTGTTGAGATAATATGATTATTTGAAAATATTTTTTTTATAAATAATTTAATTATATATTTTAAATAAAAAAATATTTGCAAATGCCATGTCAATATATGCAGCATGTTATAAAAAAATTATTTATTTATTTATTAATGTTTATACTATTTTTTTTTTTTTAAATTAGTTAAGTTAGTTTGATTGGTTAGTTAAAATAAAGAGTATGATTAGAGTGTACACTAGCTAAACTAGTTAGGCAAAATAAAAAAGGTAGGTTTTGATGTACTTTGAAGAGGCATTTTAGAGAGCATGGTTGGAGATGCTCTTATCAGCAAAAAAAAAAAAAAAAGAGAGCATGGTTGGAGATGCTCTTATCAGCAAAAAAAAAAAAAAAGTTTCCAAATTACCCAAATTTGAGTATGTCTCGCAGACTAGATTCGATTCACGCCATAGAGTCCTGCACATTCCACCTCCACAGTTGGAGACCATTTCACCTCCTAACAACAACAACAACAACAACGACAACAATAACAACCCTAGACTCCGATTCAACCACCTATACTTCGAAACCCTACTTCTCTACCACCCCTAAGAGGCCTTGTCTCTCCGATTGACTAACTTCCTTCCCGATTGACTCTCTCGACATGTCCAGGCCGACTTTGTTCGATGATGATCGATCCAATAACCGAAAAACCCTCCACTGGATCGTCCGGAAGCGGCGGCGGCGAAATGGGTCGCGGTCGGTGTCCGGGGGGAACAGTGATCGAAGTGGCACTCGCCGGTGGTCTTCGGCTGCTTATGCTACTTGTTCAGATTTTCCGGTGGCGGCGGGGACGGATTCGAGTGGGGAGTTGTTTTTGAATGGGGATGCGAATTGGTCGTCGGATGTGAGTGACGTAACGAAGAATTCGAGGAGGGAGAGGGAGGGTGGAGAGAATTTGAGTAGTGGGTTTGGGCAAAGTGGGAATTTTGATTGTTTGGGGAATGAATTTGGGTATGGGAGTGAACCGGGGTATCGAGGCGATGCAGAATTCGGATATGGTGATGAGTTTGATGAAGAAGAGGATAATCATCGAGTGTTGTTTTGGGGTGAAAAAATCGAAGGTAAAAGCTGCAATTTATGCTTCTGAATATCATTTGCTTGTTTTTTGATTACATTGCTGAGAGGGTAATTTTTGGGAAAGAATTGGGCCGAGCTGTGAGTTGGGCCCTGCGGCCCAAAGTGTGAAGGAATCGGTAAGAATCCGTAATGTTATTTCGGCCCAGTAAAGGTATAGATACTCCGGCCCAGGAGAAGTGAAGTTATTCCGGCCCAGGAGAGGTGTGGTTACTCCGGTTCAAGAATGTGTAAAGCAACTCCGGTCCGGTGGCAGTTTAAAGTGAGTCCGGCCTTGCATTTAGTCCGGTCGTGACGTATTATGGTTAGGTCGGTCAGAACTTGCTACTTGGAAGTTGATCTAAACACACCATGGTTGAACAGGGGAAAGCCGAGATAAGGAGTTGGAGGAGAAGACCGAGCTAAGGACAGTTCGGCCTTTTCCGTGGCTCTGCGTAGCCAAGCTTATTTCGGTCATATAGTAGTCCGGCCAAAGTGAAAACCATCCCACTTGGTTTAAGCAGTGGGGGAGGGTGTAAAAGGATAAGCATTATCCTTAGGAGTATGAATCCTAGGAGGACTCTGCATGGAGAAATAAAAGTCCTACTAGGATTATGCCACTCGAAACCTATAAAAGCTCACAAGCACCGCCTTGGAGGAGGTAATTGAACGTAATTCTTTCTGAGAACATAAAACTTTGTCTATTTGTCAAGCTTACTGACTTAGGCATCGGAGAGGTTTCCGGCACACACCCGCCGGCTAGCTCACGTTTGTGTTTTCAGGTGATAAAGCGACGTCGTACGGGGAAGCGTGGACTTGGTCAACAGGATTATACGAGGAGAATTATTTCCTCCCCGTACAATTGGCGCCGTCTGTGGGAAGATACAGACAAGAACAAAAACCTCTTGACTAAGCTTCTCCTTTTTTCAATCAATGGCACACATTGAAGAACTACCGCAGTCCGCCGTCGACGGACTAACTCCAGAACC